GTGGGGACAATGCCAGAAGACTGAGAGGAGGGATGAGGTAGTGATGATGGTAATGATAGGGATCAGAGAAAAGTGACAGGTTTTCATGAGAACTGTAGGAAAAGTATAATGTATAATGTTGACACAAGGGGAGAATGTGTCTTATAGAAAATATGCTATTAAAATAAATGACTTGACATTATTCGCAGTTTGATTATAATGAGAATGAATTGGATTTATATTAAAAGTAAGTAAATGGTGTTAGTTTGAAAAAAAAAAAAGTACATCCGCAAATATACAGTTAAACATGTTGGATTACAATATAATGGAAAATAATTGCACTAAACTACATGTGATCAAACTTGGGTATTTTCCTGCAAACAAAAATAAACTAATTTATACAAAACTGAAAAAGCATAAATTTCCCCAGTGACTGCTAACTTACAGGAACTTGGTCAAAGGTGATGTTGGTGACGTAATTCTTTGGGCAGCTCTGCCATGAGTTGTTGAGCCTGAACCCAAAGGCACTGGTGTGTCGTCCATGCAATGCTGCAAATTTTCGAAATGTACAGTTCTGAACATTGACTGGACCATCATAGATCTGCATGCCTCGAATAGGAAAATCTCTACAGAAAAACAAAGTCATACAAATCATCTCATTAACAGTTCATGAACAGAATTTGTGACCTTGTTTACAGGACAGTTGCCACAGTTCTATCATTATGTACTTGCATGAATATAGCTAAGTTGAACACTTAATACAAAAGCAATTTATTTAATTTATCAGCCCATTGCACAACAGGCTGAAGCATCATGATAGTTTACAGTTTCACAGTGACCATAAAGCATTATTTTTGAGACTTTGTGGCACTGCAACTTGGTGTAGACTGATGCTCTTCAGCCTTAAAAAGAACAGAGCCTTCAAAAGCCACCTACATTCCACGTGGCAGTGTCCTACTGGAGAAATCAGAACCTCCTGGGCCCCATATGTTGTTATCTGGAAGAAGCGTCCCACGATTACCACTTTCACCAACAAAGAGAGAGTTCTTCACCTGCTGATGAGAACCATCATCATCTGGAAATGTTCCTCCACTGTGAAAAAGTGGAATAACCCATGATGAATCAACATTTCTGTGTTCAAATCTCCCAAGACATTCACTTCAGAGATAAAAAGCCTGATACCTGAGGTAAAACATACATGAAAGCATCTCATTTACTATACAAGGACAGAACACCTCAATCTTAACCTTCTCTATTGCTGCATGTCTACACAGTACATAATTTAAGCAGAGTTACAAACAGTTGACAAACCATGGAAATGTATTTATTAAATTCTCGTGTTAATTTAAACCTAAGAACAAACAATTCAGGCTTGTAATGCAGTAAAGGTTGAAGTTTCGGACTGTACATAAAGCCTAAAGTTACAGTAGGCTTACAGGTAAAACCTGTCATGGATTTGTCATGAAAATTATATGCCAAGACTTGAAATTTAACTCTTACTTGGGACAAAAGACCTAAGACTAAATTTGGGACTTCAGACTTGATTTGGAAAAAAACAAAAAAAAAAAAAACATCTCTGGTTGTTCATTGGGTATATGTGACTGCAGTTTGAAGCTTAAGATCAAGTATACCTGACTCCCAAACCACAACAAAAGATGAAAAGTTTGTAAAATAATAAAATTAAAAGGCAAAAGACTGAACTATTGTAGGATCAAAAAGAAAGTCAATACATGAAAAAGTGTTTGTCCATTTTCTGATTTTCTATTCTTTGCATGGTTGTGACACTGTACGTCTAACCACATTGCCTAGAAAGCAACAAAGGCCCATGGCAGCACTTGTTTCTCATTCAGGACAGACTACAAGTTAACTGCTTTCATGTGTTGTCACTAACTTGTTCAAAAACAAAGTTCTGAGGTTTGTTGCTTGTCTGTTTTTTGAAGAAAGAGGAGTCTGAAAAATTGCTAATTATAGCAAAAAAAAGTGCTAAGTTACAGTAGGACAAGTAAAACTAGAAAATTCCTGCAGAAATTTTACAAGGCATACCAAAGTGTTCCCAGCAGTTTGAACCAAACATTTTAGCTATAGTTTGCACAGCTGGACTGCTCTTTACACCTGAAACAAATCTGAAGCATAAATGAGCAATACTATTAAACTTTCATGGTTCATCAACAATGTACAATAATCGACGTTATGCCAAAGCCATCGCGATATTTCTATAACTGACCTGATTCATCAAAAACAGCACAACTGAATCCAATGCTCAATAAATTTCAGTCCGAGACTGACAACTATAAGCTGTCATGTGGTTCTCACTCACGGTCCGACATAAAAAAAAAAAAA